ATAATGTATTATCAATGTACATTAATGTGCATGTATTTTATTGCACTGAATTACACTTAATATAATTGCCCAGGCAATTAAAAGTACAGGATGCAATCCTCCCATGTTCCCTTCCTCAGCCTTTCCCCTAAGACACCATTACCTACACGTGGCCGTGGTTTCGCAATGGATGTTCTGTGGCATAAACGCGTTCCTAAAAGAAAATCTCTTTGTCAAACGTCACTGATGCCCATTTGGGAAGGACTGGCAGTGAGAGGTCAGTGGGCCACAAAATGAGACAAGAGGAAAATGTCAGTAAGGGATCCAGGATAAAACTTCAGCCTACCCCCATCCTAGCATCCATGGGGGAAAACGGGACCTTCCAGGGTTACGTTAGCATCTTACCCAGCTGCCAAAGGGCTGCAAACACACTGATGTTATGTTTGAAAGATGCAGCAAGGCAGCCCACCCTCCCTCCCGGTTTGCCCCATACAAGACATTCAACAGGCGAGAGGCTGGCGAGGAGTCATCCAGCACAGACCGGGAGAGCAGGCGGACTGTCCCCTTTTGTCATGGTCTGCAGGCACCACAGCAGGCTGTGCAAAGAGGTTAAAGGTACCAGCGACTTCACCGTGTGCTGCTGCACCAGGAGGCGGGCTTGTTTTCCTCCTCACGCTGGATCATTCCAACAGGCAGAGGACAGACAGACAGACGCCTCGTACGTGAACAGGCAAACCCTTTTCTTGTGAAATCCTGGTGCTTTGCTGTTCACTGGCAACTGCAAGCATGAGCCCAGCCCCGGCCAAAGACAAGTTTCAAATAAACAAAGACAAAATATTGGAAGTCATCAGTGTCCATGGTTCTCGCTCAGAACAAAAGGAAGGAAGTGGAATATAAACAGTCCGAGGAGCAGCAGCGTGCGGCAGGGCTCGGAGGTGGAAAGGGGCTCTGGAAGAGCGAGGCACGAATAGGCTGGTGTAAACGCTCACCCAAAGGAAGAAGAGACTTTGGTGGAACCTCACAGCCCCTTCGTGGGTCTTGCACCTCAGCAGCCATTTATCTAACGTTCGACAGCCTTACAGAGCCCTGCTGGAAAGCATCTCGCTGGAGGGGACAGCTCGGGGCTTTCCTGGGTTCACACATTCACCAGGAGCGAGCAGCACGTACTCCTCCAATAACTTTCTGGGAACATTCGCAGAAGTAGTTCTTCTCCCCTGCAATGGGAATGAGCTCGTGCAGATGGCAGCTGGCCAGCCACCGGCTGAAGCGATCACCTCCACGCTGCTGGAGCCGGCTGTGTCACCGGCAAAACCTCGGCACGGCCCAGAGCTTGGCAAGGCAGGCTTTTTTTTTTCTTTTTTAAACCTCAGTAAATAACTCTCATAAAACAGCCAGTTCAGCAGCAATCCAACTAAAACATAGCTTCAGGTGCTCACATTTTACGGTTTGAGGTGGGGCTGGAAGCGCTGCCCCTCCCCACCTGCTCTTTGGGTTGGGCAGCACTCAGCGAGACTGAAATAAAAGCAAATCCCGAGTGCAGCAAATCCCTTCCCACAACAGCATCAAAGGAGGGCACATCTCTAAATCACAACAAGCAAATGGGAAAGAAAATCAACACCTCAGGGTATGGAGGTGGGAGCAAAGACTTCAGAAGGGAGGGCGAGAGCAGAACCCACGCTGCCAAGGCTGACTTCATCGTCAGCTCCCCTCTGCGCCGAGCGGCCGCGGCACAGACGCCCCTGAACGCGGAGCTGCAGCTATCACAGACCTAGGGAAGGCAGGAGACCCCCGTGCTTGGAAAGGTGCTGAGCAGAGAGAAGTCTTGCGGTTTTCGAGGAGTACGAGCCTGTAATTCTCAGAATAAGGACTCATGGAAATGGGACAGTTTTCCTCTCCTGGGTACAGTCCGTCTCCTCTCGGGAGAGGCAAGAGCAACCATCCACTGCCGCTGTCAGCCTGAGCGGTTCCTGCGGCAGCAGCAGCGGACAGAACCTTTCAGCCCTGTGAGCTGTGAGGCTGCATTAGTGCAGCTCAGACACAGCTGGCAGTTCTCGGGTTGTTTAAAACACAGAAACACTCAGCAGGTCCCTCCCGCGCTCAGCAGCTGTCACACAGCCCTGGTACGATCGCAGCCACGTACATTGCTAACAAGCAAATAATCAAACCTCTCTCTTGAGGGCTCCAGGCAGTGGCTTCACGGGTCAGGAAAGGATCCTTTTCCCCCAGGACAGGACACCTGAAGCTGTCCCTGACCAACCACAGCCAAGTGCAACCCACCACCCTGTACAATCACGTTCTTGTTCATGGCAGAGAGGCTTTTTCCTAGAGCTGCAGTTTCCAACCTGCGTATGCGACTATTACTTCCGATAGCAACACGCAGGATAAACAGGAGCAGCAAGCTGTTGTACTGGCTGCAAGGTTGTTACACAAAGGTTGGCATCGCCACTCCAGCTTTTTGGGAAGGAGAAAGAAAAAAATAATGAAATAAATCGTGCATGTTTCAAGTTGTTTTCTCTGCTGCAGAGAGCAAACAGTCAGGAGAGCTCAGGAGGCAGCTGCCAGGGCGCAGCCCCGCTCAGCCAGGTCTCCTGCACGAGCCTGTTAGCGCAGGAGCTTGAAAACTGCGGCTCCAGGTGCCTCCCGGCCGTCTCTGCTCATAAGCACACTTCAGCAGAGCTAGTTTTAGGAAGTTTTCTCTTTATTCCTCCCTGTAGCCCCATCAAGCCCTGCTGATCAGCATTTTCCTGTTGTTCCAGGGTTGCTGGGCACTCTCACTCCTTGCCTGTCACAGTAAAGCAGGAGCTGAACAAGCGTTTCTTCGCTCTGGTCATAAAGCCTGCAAAGAAATCCAGAGGCTTGGAATGACTGTGGATACTGCAAAGCAAGAAAGAAGAGGGGCATGGAAGAGGAAGGGGTGTGGTGCCAGGATGTGTGATATGAATAAGATACTTGCATTTGAACAATGTTCAGTAGCTTCTGGAGTTACATGATTCACCCCCAAGAACTTCAGCAGTTGCCCCATGACGGGTGCCAAGAAGCAGACCGGACCCCAGCTTCATCCTCGCAGCTGCAGGCAGCACTTTGATTTAGTTTTTAACCAAGTCCTTTTTCTCTTCCTGCAAACCTATTCCTCTGGTTCGTGTTCAGCTGCATCCTGATAGCAGCTTTAAGGAAAATAAATTCACACACACACACTTTCCTTTGCTACTCCTCTCCCCCTGATATGGTAGCACATACAAAGAAACAAGTGCTGACACGCTCAGCTAGGTGTATAAATAATATTTCCCCGTAAACGAGCTAATTCACCCAGCACAGTTGTTCCTGGTTAGGATCAGGAACGACTTTTGCTGCATTACCAGTCAGATGTAGTTATTCACTTCCATACAAGACAGTCTTTCCGTATTAAAGTGAGAAACTGAGTAGAAGCAAGAGTCAGAAAGGAGTTCCACATCACAGTAGTGTAAACAGTCTGAAAGAAACTACATCTGCGAGGATTTTTTTGTCTGTCATGAGACAGTGACCACTTCTGATCCAGCTTTACAGTCCTGGATACACTGATGATTTTTTTTAAAGGTAAAATGAGTCCCAAGACAAAGTGTTTAACACATTTTAAAATAATTTAAAAGCAGGAAACCAACCTCTTATTTGTTCCTTAAATCTGCATAAACGCAAAGTCTGGATCAGGAGTAACACAAGGTATAAAAAAAGTGAAAGAGCAACACTGAATTCTAAGGAACACACTTTCGCTAATCTGTCAACCTGCTCTCGTATCACTGATTACGCACTAGAAAAAAACAATGGGCTCTAGGTACAAATTTAACTTAAAACAATGGGAAACAGAAAAATTATTATTTAAGAATTTAAAGAATTAAATAATCCGGAGCAACCACTGCAAAGAAAGAAAGAGCACATGTTAGCAGCTGTTTCTCTACACAAATGGAACCATTTAAGTTATTTACCACACTCACCTCAAAACAATGAACAAACCACTTCATTTGCTGTTGAGCTCCTTTTTAGGAGACTGGCCTCTATAGGTGAAGGTTTCATGAAAGACCCAGGTGCTAGTACTAGAAGGCACCTTTTGAAGTTCAAGATGCAGGAACAGGTTTGGAAAAATTATCATTAAGAACAGCTGATTTGCTAACTATTTCAGAACATCCTCTACAACAAAAGCATCTCCAATCAAAATCAGTTTAATGCCTCAATTTATTCCTCCCCTCTGAGTTTGAGTTTTTAAAAATCCATAATGTGAAAAAAACCTTCATGCCGCTCCCTCCTGGAATTACTGCACAGTCACCTAACGGCACCTGTAACCCACAGCACAGCAAAGGAACCCCGATTCTCCCTTGCCAGGATGAGCAATGCAGACACATGAATTACACCAGGGGTTTTTTTTAAAGACTTTTCCATTTTTATAATAATTTTTTGCTACACAGGTAAGAAGATTTATACAATAAAATTTTCAACTGAAAATACTTTTTCACAACAGTGGTGCAAGCAGGAACTGCCATGTGTGCATTCACAGTACATCTCTACCAAAGATGGACAATACCACAATTGAAATCAGACACTCCTCCGCTCATCTGCTGCCCAGTCCACGGCAATGGAAGAGTTACCTTTGCAAATAAGTGCACAGATTAAAACTCTACAGTTTATGGGGTCTGCATAGAAATCTCCATCCCTGCAAGACGGCAACAAGACTATTTCAGCACAGTTTCCTCAATAGTTCAACTATTTAACACGTGGTCACTGAGGTCTACACAAATATGTGCACAGGTACAGATGGCAGCGCTGTAACGAAGAGGGAGTCTACACTCAGCTGTAGGTCGCTTCAAGTCTCTGCTACACATCTGGAGACGGACACTGAGCAATTGTCTCTGCTTTAATTCCCCCAGAACTGAGTCAGCATACGTGAGGGAGGTACATATCACAAGCTGCTAGCAGCCTGTGAGCGTGAACTGGAACACACAAAGGTAATACTGATATTCCTTCACTACTTGCCTTTTTTTTTCCCCCCGCTAAACCAGACTTGCAAGTAGGGTAAGAACCTAACGCAGTAATTTAATAAGCTGATTTCTATAATCCGACTTCAGATAGCACCTTCCTCCAGCACAACACACACAGACTGCATCTTCCCGCAGCAAGACAAGACAGAGGCATTTTCGGCAGAGGTCCATTCCTTGGGGCACACAGCTGGCATGCCTGCTCCTGCCCCCACTCTTTCAGAAGGGAACTGTGGTCTGTTTCAAAGAATCTTGTCATCTTTTACCAAAGGCGAAACCCCTCCCTTTCGAGAACAATGGCTTCAATGACAATTAAGTCCGAAAATCCAGGCCCAGCACACCAGTCACTGCTTTGCCTTTTTCACAATGGTGCCCACAGCCGATATGACTGTAGTTTTGGATCCACTTGCACTTGTTGTCACTGTGACAACACCCGGCAGCGTTGCAGTAGTGGTGAGGATGGTGGGCTGAGCTATCGTTGTTACAGGGATGGCCGAGTCCCACTTGCTCTTCCTCTTCTGGGCATCTGTGAATTTGATTAGATCAAGCAAATGAGGATTAGTGTTATGTTAAAGGTCACCAAGCCCTTCGTAACACCCTGTCTTGTCAACTGTTACAATACCCCTGCTTGATGAGACAACTTTCCCTCACATTAATTTCAGCACACACTGGCAGTCAGTGGTGAGGAAGAAAGACAACTTTGTACCTCAGGAGTCAAAGTAAAGCTCTACACCTGAACTCCAGCCAAATGGGAGACAGGTTCACTCCCTGCCCCAAGGCATATTTAATTCTAACAGAGCGTACATATCTCAGCTGCTCAGGCACAGGACACACTCATCAGCCTCCAGTGGTTTTTCTCCTTTCCTCCCAGTTTAACAGGCAGGCTGTAGGCAGGAGAATGATTTTCAGTTTCGAAATCTCAAGACATACCAGCCCCAAGAACACTCTACAACCACAGACATCAGGAGATTTCTTGACCCACTAATAAACCTCTTCACTACCAGTCTCCTGAGCTTTCATTCCTGAAGGACAGCCATGGGACACACGGACTGGAGCAAAGCTAGTCCATCCACTCCCAGAAGGAATGCTGTCTTGCATTACATACAATCAATAGAGAGCCTTCAGGCTTTGCAGGAAGCACTAATCCCAGCATTGCTGCAGCTTAACAGGTACAATCACAACTGTTCTTTACCTCCCACAGTGGTACTGGCTGTTGTGGTTGTTGTAGAAGTGGCGCTTGTTGTTGTACCCTTTTTAGTGCCAGTCACAAATTCAATCTGGGAAGGGAGAGACACACAGGAAGATAAAAATGAAATGTTAATATACAGAGTCTTTTTTTACCCCCACATCACTTCTCTATATTTTCAAAGAACAGCTTTAATGTCATGTAAGACATTGGCCTCCGAGCTGACTGTCATGCAGGAAGAAAGACAGAGCTCAGGCCACAGTGCACCGAAGTCATGATCATTAAGGGTTCCTGCAACCCAGCTCCTACACCAGATAAAACAAAAATGTGTTGGGTTTTGGGTTTTTTTTTTGAACTTGATATAGCTCAGAAAGGAAACATCCTGCTCATTAAAGAATGTATTCCTCTTCTTTTTCCTTTAAGAAACATGCAAGACAAGTCCCTACCTGCACGAGTTACTTTGACTGCATCACAGCACAAAACCTAGCAACAAGAGCTACACCAGCATGCAGCCTCGTATTTTCAAAACTGCAGATAAGGGCAAGGACGTAATCAGACACTTGGGTTACTGTGCAAAAACCAAAACAAGGAGCAAGACACAGCATGCATTGCAAGAAAAAAAAAATACCTCCGCATACCGAATATGGAAAGAGCCTCTGCAAGGTTAGATGGCAATCTCTGACATGAGACAGTTTTCTAATGCCAGACATTAGCTTAAAGGCAACACCACTAAAGGACAGGAACAGAATCTTCCAAAGCCCGTCTGTGTTCTTTTTGGGGGTACAGAAGCACGTACATTTTGCAAAAAGCCAATACACTTCCAGTTGAAGTTAAAATAGACACAACACTTCTGGAAATTAGATGCAAGAAGGCAATATCAAAGAGAACAGAAAGCAGATATGGTCTCACAATAAGATACGGTGAGGAAATGAAGCTGTAACTAGGCTCTGCCACCAGGCAAAATGTCACACATTAAGAAAAAAGCCGTTCTTTATGCATTATCTTGCCTGTATCTGGCTTACTGAGTACCATTTTAAAAGCTCTGGTTGAAAAATACTGCCAAAAGAGAAGGAATCCAGTGGAATAAACAACCTAGAGAAATGGACCTATAAGGAAGGGCAAACAACTTGATCTGTGCTGCTTAGAAAAAGACATGCAAGAAGAAAGGTCAGAACCAGGGAAAACTGAACAGTAATAGCACAGAGCACAGTTCATAAAAACAGCAAAGCAACAAAAGGAAATTCAGCTGGGAAACAAACAAAAACCCTGCATCTCAGGCTCTCTTGGTTTTGAATAGCTACCTTTGTGCGTTCCTTCTTGGCCTTCTCCAGTTTGTCCATTTCAATCTTCTGGGCTTTAGCTGAGAAAGATCAGAAGTTAAACACTAGAAACTATAAAAATCCATAATTCTATCTCACTCCCCATCATAATCAAAAACTTCAAATTGTGTACAGAAAATTAAGCTGCCATTAAACCAACTACAGCTTTCTAATCAAAGCATTACTGCACTAAATTAATGATTTAAGAGATGAAAACATTGAAGAACCAATTTAAATGAAAAGGCTTTCCAGACTGATGAAGCATCAATAACACTCAGGCACATCCAACCAGAATAAAATAGTTAAAGAGCAGCATGTGATGACTTCTCTTTACAAAGGAAGTGAAGACTCCAGTGCAGCTAATTAATGTTTTGTAAAACACAAAGAACTAAGTCAGGACAAAAAAAAGAGACTTCCTCGAATCACCTAGTGCCTCATAATAGGAATCCTCTGACCAGCCATGAGGATCAAACATGTCCTAAAGAAGAAAAAAAAAAAAAAAATCAGATTAGGGCTATTTCCACATATACCCAAAACCCAGTTCCAAAGTGTTTTGTGTATTTCTGTTCACTGATGATACTCGTTACTGATCTCTTCTTGTATCCCAGCGACACAAAGTTCACATCAGACTTCCTTTTATAAGACCACGTTCTGCTGTGCATGAAGAAATAGCTTTGAAGTCAAAAGGATGCTGGGATAAGGCACGCATTTTTCTGCTGCTCAGCTTCTGTCCCCCGCAAGGAGTTTCATGTGTATCTACACGCTTCAGCATTTTTGGTTCAGAATCATTATAGCAAAGCTGGAGGCACTGAGGCTCAGTACCACATAAAACCTCACTTCAGTGCAGAGGATCAGCCTGAAGTTCCCTTAAAGGACGTTTAAGGAAGCAGGCTCAAGAAAGCCCAAGGTATGACCTTACACCCCTGTGTTATCTTTTACCCACTCCCTTGCCAGTGAAGAGTATCACACCTCACCTTTGGATAATTTGTACCGAGTTCATCAATTGAACAAAACTGGATCAGCTTCTCATAGATGCTGCAAAGGAAAGACGAGAGTTCAGAACAGAGCCAGGGAGCTAGAAGTAAACGGAAGCATTTCAGATTTGTTAGTAGAAAGAGGGTGTCACCTCTTCACACTGCAAGAGTAAAATCAGAACCCGGGAAGCTACGCTTGCGATGATGCATGTGGCATGCCGTCAATCACATTATTTCCCACTTCCCCCAGATTAATCTCCCAGCTCCCACAACAGACACATCTAAAGTATTCAGCCAAAGCCTGTACATTTTAAATCTGACACACCAACTACAGCCATTGCCTCACAGAATATAAAGAAGAGTTTTACTGTTTCAGTTACAATCAAATTACATCTTTCTCATTTTTGCAAGCAGTAGTACTTCTTACTCAGGATCCCTTTTCTTCTACAACTCCAACAAAGAGAAAATTATTGGAATTTACTGCGTGGTGCTTTGGTCAGTTGGGAAAAGACAGTGGCTCACCTGGGGTTGCGGAACTCCTTTTTCCTCTGAATAATGTAGTTCATATCCATGCCCTCTTTTATTTTCCTCTCATATAGCTTCTGAATTTTATCCTAAGGGAGAAAGATTACAGGGTGAGCCAGTACAAAAAGGAGGAGCACCCCAGGTGACATGTGGCAACAAGCCAGCTGAACCAGTGACCTCCTTGCATGGAGAGCAGGGATACCACCCCTCCCCTGAGGCCAGACAGGCTGATGGGTACAGACACTCCCTCCTTTAAGGCCTGTCAGTACCTTCATGAATTGTCTGGATGGATAAGGGAACTGATCTTTGTATTTTCTAAGAGGCTGGATGATTACAGACTTGCATTTGAGGCAGCAGAGCACACCTCTTCCTCTCAGCCTGTTGATCCCTGTTATAGCTGTGACTGTAGAGAAGGAAAAGCCAGCTCCAGGAGGGACAGGTGACCTCCACAAAGGTTCTCCCACAAGTTACAGTGACCATGACACCCACCTCCAGACTCAGTCGTGCACCTGAAAAACAGCTGTGGGGCTACAGCGGGCAAAGTCAAGGCTCATGGCTATGCCTGGGTAACAGATGAGCAGAGCCAAGTCCTGCTGGAGAACTAAAACCAACGGGATCACCAGGTACTGCTGGTGGTGGCTCCTGGCAGCCAAACGCTCTCAGGAACAATGCACTTGTAAAATTCCTGCTTGGGCACAAGCGGCCAGTTTGATGGAATGGGCTTCTCTCTGAGATCACTCACATAGTTACCAACTCTACAAACAGCTTAGTGAAGCCATAAGCCTCTGCAAAAGGCACCTTAACTGACTCAGGTTGGAAATGCCAAGCATTCTACTCTCCAAAAAGTCTGAAAGATTAAAAAATAAGCATGGATTTTCATCTTCCTCAGCAGGGCAGTGAAAGAGCTTACTCTGGTGACGGTGAAGTGACAGCAAAAGCAGAAACTTTCAGATGGAACATACACTCTAGTGGTACTAAGAGAATATTCTCAGTAATTTCCTTCATCTTGTCTCTTTGACACAAATTTCTCATGTACAAGAAGCATATAAAGTAAGATCTGAGGCCAGGCCTTCAGTCTTTCAGGATGGGAGAACTGAGTCAATTTTCCTTTGTTGCTTCTGGATAAGTCACTTCATGTTTCCCTCCGTGCGGACAGTCAACACAAATACAGAACTGACTATTGTCTCCGGGTTTGCTCATGCCTGAATAAAAGATGACTGTTAAGAGCCAACATGAAACTCCTATTTCATCAGCTTTAAAAAAAGCTTTATAAGACAAATTTTCATCAGATCTTCACACAATTAGCAAGAAGAAATAACAATCTTCACATCCATTGTACACATGGTGAGGTTCAAAGGAAAACTGCAAAGAGGGTGAATTTGGGGAATGGAAACAATTGACTAGGTGTCCCCTTTTGTCCCCTCCCCGTGCAGGCAGCAATATGGTTCACAAAGCCCAGAGATGGGGAACTACTCAGTCAACTCTACAGTAAGAAATACTGCCTTTGGCAGAGTTCGAGATACAGTTTATTAGAGGAAGAACCTGACAAAAGGAAAGAGCAAATCAACAGTGAAAAGCCTAGAACATTTTGAACCTCAAGAACAATCCCATCTCCTTGCTCAAAGTGCTCTAAGATGTGGTTTGACCTGCTAACAGAGGACAAGTCCTCCTTTGATTTAACATAGTAAACTGCTGTCAAAGGGGAAGAAAATCTGCCTTATTCCGTCTACTTTCTCAAGCTCTGCACATTCCTCAGATCTAACGCACTCTAACTCATTGATGTCAGAACAGTAACATCGTCCTACAGCACCAGAGGAGGAACGGGTGTGCCCAGGTACACTGTGCGGGGAAGCAGGAGGCATGATCTGGGTGGTGAGTCATTCTGAATCACCACTGCACATTAGCAGCTTACTTTATAGAGCATTCCAGAAGGGGTTCTTCACCTGTATTTCTACCGGGCAGGTAACTGCAGTCAAAACCCCAATGGATGGCAGGAAACAGCAGCCTCTGCTCTTTCATTTGCCCTCCATCAGGAGGAGGAGAACAGAGCAGAAGGTTGTTGCAAAGTTGGTTACTGCAATTATTTGGGTGTGTACCAGAGAAAACACGTGTTTGTTTTCTTTTGCTGCCTCTAAGTTACTAGCCTTCCCTCTAAATGTTTATCATCTAGATATGTAGGTGGAAAAGGAATTCAGTCAATGCTGCCTCAACTCTTCCAGTTAGGGGATTCTCAGGCCTGTATAGAAAAAACAATGATTTGTTCTTTCCTACGGAGCTGAATTTGCTGAGGTAAGAGGACAGCAGCCTTCAAAGTAAACATTGCTGCTGTGTCACTGGTGGGATCAAGAGCCATCTCAAAGCACAAGTGACTCTCAGAGACTGGAAAACAGCTTTAAGCTACTTTGAGATTCCTAAACTAGAATAGCTGCAAAGTCTAAAGTGTGAACACAGTGCATTCATAAACACGGTGTGGTTTAACTTGTGCAACAATGCCAAGCAGAGTTCACAAATATTCCCCCTCCCTTCTGAAATGGAAGCCTTTGAAAAACAACAAAGAGGAAGTGGACTTCTACCAACCTGCAAGTGGTTAGAACATCTGCCAGGAGGCTCAGGAGGGATTTTGATCTCATCTGGAGACATGTTCCGCACTCTCTCTGAAAAAGAAGCTGTAGAGAGCAAACTGGGCATGAGTTCTGGCAATACTGAATTTAAGCCACCCAAGTCATTAAACTCGTTTCACGTCCTCAGTGCCAAAGTAGCACTAGCAAGGAACAACGGGTAAAGTGACAGGGGAATGCTGTCAATCAGCACTCATGGTGTTTTCAAAGTGCTGAGCAAGAAGCAATTAACTTAAAGGTTAGATCACCAGCAGAGGGATGTGATGCTTTACTGACATCCACCCTACACACCCACATGTAAAGCTTTATTTTCAGGGGTCTCTTAGCCCCAGCATGGAAACATGAAAAGCAAAGCTGCTCCCCACTCCAGCTGCCATTGTTGGTAAGATCCGCAAAGGATCTGCAGAGAAACAAAGGCTGGTTTGTGGAATGTATCTCCAAACCCTGCACTGTGCACCACACACCGAGCCCTCCACTGCTCCAGGTCTCCCAAACTCACTCTGCAGTCCTGCTCTGAATAGCTCAGACAACCTGGAGTCTCCGACAAAACTCGAGCCAGGACACTCTCGTAGAGAGAATCAGACTGTGTTTGTGGAGGATCACGGGATCAATCTAAAGCAGCCTGGCTCACTGCCATTTTTGGGGAGGTAGTCGCTTTGCATCCTACTTACTTCAAGGCTTACCTACATGAACCAAAATGGTTCAGGATGGGAACAGCCCTCCCCCAGGCTGTCAGGAGTTAACCACAAGAAATCACATTTCATCCTTAAGTTAACATTTCCTTAACAGGCACTTTGATCTTTGCCTATGGACTCAGACTATTGCTAGAAAGAACAACTCGTTCTGCAGACCTGAGGACAGACCAGCACAGATTGCCAGATTTATTATGGCTGTTTGTGTTGGGATATACCATTAGAGCTCTTGTTTGCCCTGTAAAGATTAGTTTACGGGGTTATCAGCAAAAGAAACTGTCACGTTTCCCCCTTATTGCTTGCATTCAGTTATGGGAAACCCAGGCAGCTTCCTGACCAAGTCCTGGAGCAGAGATTTGTGCCACATTTAAGCAGCTGGGATTGTTTTCAACCATAGTTTGTACAGGGGACACATCCCAGAGCTGTAGGCTGTAGTGAGTAAGAGCGACCCGACACCAGCACAGAAGTGATATCAAGGAAGCCATTCACATTTGCGGCTCCGCAATAAAAGCTCCCTGAACTTCAGTCCAGTTCAAGTTCAGCTCCTTTGACAAAAGCCCAGAAGGGCCCAAAGGACAGACGCTGGCGTTTGAACACAGTGTGCTCTCCTGCCTTCCAGCACAGAGCGACGGACAGCCGAGGTTACAGATAATCAACGTGACACATGTTCACTGCTACTACAGTTTCCACTTCTTTTGTAAAAATGTAAAACACTAAGGACAATATCCTTCGGAGATGCGAAGCTGGCAGGCGATCACTCATTCCGTTTGATCAAGATGTTGCTGAGGGTTAAATTCTTCAGCAGCTGCTAGTAACGAACAAAAAGTGTCCTTTGGCATTTACTGAGAGGGTGCCTCTATGGAGGAAGGAAAGCTTGCCAGAGCCCCTACAGAAAGGCAGGCACGCTGGAGCTGCCTGACAACAAGGCAGACATTTGTTATAGGTTACAGCTGCTGGTGGGACGGGGAAGCCTCTAGTTTAATTAGAGCTTCAGGAACCCAGAGAGACAGAAGCAAATAGACAGAAGTGTTCATAATAGATGGCACAGGAGGCTTTCCAGAAAAGGTGAAAGCTGATTAACGGCTTAAGAGATTCACAGCATCAACAGAAATAGTAAAAAAGAAAAAAGGCCAACAAATCCAGACCCCATGAGGAAAAGGATCTAAAAAAAAAAAACA